GGTGACGGGGGCGGGCACAGTGTGAAGCCACAGCTCCTGAAGTCACAATTGCCTTGAGGGTGTTCCTGTTTAGTCCAGGAGGTGGAGAAGGAGCAGAGTCTCTTTGGGCAACTCCAAGAAAGGAAGTCTATTTACTTCTCTGCCTGCCTATACTTAGGCTAGATATGGCCAGAGGGCTGTGTCCACCGTGCTGGTTCTGATCTGTCCCCTTCACTGTCTTCTGGGTCAGGGACAGAAATGCGGCTGCTTTAATGCTTTGCCCTAGGCTGAGAGATGTGTTACATGCTGCTGTCCCAGGAAGCTTCCAGGCTGTGCTGTGGGTATTGGTACCTGCTGCCTGCTCGCTGCAGGAGTGCTGCACGCAGCTGTGTGCCAGAGCATGGCTGGACATGGGCCTTTTGACTAAGGATCAAATTCCTGCCAGTGACTAAAGCTGTAGTGGGATCACTGTTTTAAATCATGTTATCCATAGATCTTTCATAATCTTCACTGACAAATATAGTATCTATGGGCAGGGCCTCCTGATTATAAAGGGCTTTGACATGGGTGTGTGTGCTTGGCCCAAATGAGATTCCATAGTAGCAGTGAGAATCTGGAGCAGTAGCAGAGCCTGAGTCTGAAGAAGTGCCAGGAAGCGCCCAGCTAAATCAGAGGGGTGAATCCACTGTGAGGTTTGTAAAAGAAACATACCCAAGCCTCCCGACAGGATTATCGTCTTGATAATGAGTATGATGTATGAGTATGAGAATAATCATATTCCAGCCCTCTTTCTCCCCTGTGCATTTCACATGTGTAACAAAAATGGCATAGGAGATGCTGAAGACCGCAGGTATACACACAAACCCTGGCTGGCACCATTCCTGGTAGACTGATGTCCATCGCCTTCAGATGCTTGTACTTCAGGCACTGCAGCTCCCTGACTGTCTTATTCCACAAGCAGAAGTTGTAAAAGCCAATGTGTTTGTCGGGGAGGTTGGCCAGGTTCCTAGCTTCCCACAGCAGGGTGTAGAGCATCAAGGCCATGGTCCCAGCAGCCTTGAGGAAAGTCAGCGCATAGAGCAGGTGCTCTGTGCACCTCTTGCAGCAAACCCATCCTGGTGCCCGCGTGCTCTCTTGATACCATGGTGAAGTCTGCTGGGGAGGTGCCTGCTGCAAAACATAAAGGCGAGGACCCCTCGGTTATTGCATGTTAGGGGCACCCTTCCTGAAGCTCAGCAGATGTGCCACTGATGTCTAGGGACTCCCCTAGCAAGCAGAGCAGGAGCATCAGTCCTGTCAGTTCTGGTTCTCACTGTGATGTGCGGGTGCTGTTGGGTCGAGGGGAATGCATTTCTGGTCACAGCAGAGGTGGTTTAGTGATGTCCCATGCACGGACCAGCACTGGGAGGACCGTATGGCTCCTTTAGTCCCACACATGCCCTTTCCACTATGGTCTTATGTTGGACAAGAGAGGCTCTGTCAGCAAACTGCACTGATAAGACAGGAGCAAAATACTGCTGTCTGGTAAGGAGGGGGTTAAGCTCTTTTGGGAAAATGCTTTCAGTTCTGGTCAGACAAAGACATCCCTTATGATCTTCGAACTACTGAGCAAAATGCAAGCATGACAGGGTCTGAAGTGCAGGGCTCCCCCTGCCTCTGTCCCCTCCCCCTACCCAACCCCCCCCCAGTTCTGCGACACCTGATGCTATTGATGCCACTGCTCATTTCCAGCATCCACATGCCCTTGTAGGCCCTTGCATGCCCATACATTTCTGGGCACAGCAGGGCTGATTGCCTGCAGCCCTGCTCCCCACTGAGGCTGAGTCCTGCATGCCTGAGGACCAATGACCCACGAGGACAGGCAGTTGTTCACCATGAAGAGTCACCCCGGACCTGCCTGCAGGCATTTGTCCTCCTCTGAGGCCTGGGGAGATGAGTGTTATGGAGACAGACATGCGATTGCCCTCCTCGCTCCTCTCTCAGACTGCCTGGCAAACCCAACTACCCGCTCTTCTCACAGAAATGTAGACTGACCTCGGTGCTGTCTTGCAGGCTTTTGCTTCACAATGAAAAACAAGGAAGTGGCATCATAAAGGATATCACTGGCTGCAGAGTCATGTGACATCATAGCACTGGCCACCCAGGTCTGCACAGAGGCACATATGCAGGGCAAATAGCTGAGACCTTGGCTTCAAGCTCAGCCTCTGGCTTGGGGCTCTGCAAATAACCCCTTTCCTGCCTTTGCCAAGTATTACCTCCTATGAATCATTTACCACCTTCCCTCAAGAAGTTCACAATGTCGGTCCTGGTATTTCCCCTCCACTGCCCATTACCCAGTCATATCATCATGGTGTCCTGCAGGCCATCCACCCCCAGTTGCTTGTGAATTTGGTACATCCTCTGAGATTTTAGAAGTGCCAGAAGAGACCCCACTCAATCTGTACCCTGTGCCTGGCTGCAGTGCTGGTGACTAGAGACCCTTCAGCATCCCCTTCCCACTCCTGTCTCCCTGGATACTTGGGAGTGTGGCATCTATGTTTAAAGTGCACAGGGATAAAGCTTCTCTGTCCCAAACTTCTCTATCACACAGTCATAGCTAGGAGGAGCACACACAGCATGGCAAGAGGTACCACAGCATCCAGACACTGACCTGTCCCCTTTCCCTGGTCAATACCTCAATATTTCTTGTAGCTTCCCTTAGAGGTCGTCTTTACAAGAGGCTTCTGGAGACAATGGAAGGTCACATGGAGGATGCCCATTGTTCTGAATCTACAATGAAGACGCAACCAGGAAAATACCTGTGCTCAGGCCCAGAGTGTGCTGCAGAGTGGGACCTCACGCTCGTCATTTCACCAGAGTTTGGTATTGCCTCTTGGTTTGTCTGTCTTTACGTGTGCTCTTTCTCAACAGGCATTGCCGCTCTTTCTCTCCCTGTCCCACAAAGGTTCATGCCCACTCACCATTCTCCCTGCCATCCTGTTTTGCAGCCCTCAGAGAGGAGATGGGCTGCGCTTGGAAGGGGCTTTTGTTTAGCTGACTGGCTCCCCAGGGATCTCTGTGAGAACTCAAGGGCTGGGACTGTTGCAGCACATACAGCTCCTGCTCCTGCCCACCCACTTACCCTTGTTCTTGTAAACCTTAGAGTGGTTTCCTGCAGAAAGATCTGTAGAAAAAAGAGATTTTTGCTCAATCATCTCACATTATCCTGCCTCCATAAAATACAAAACCAGTTTAAAATTGTCCTAGTTGCACATGTTTACTAGTGTGGGGACAGAGAATTCAATTCCCATCAGGTTCATGGAAATATATGGTGGGGTGGAGGAGAGACACCTCCGAGCCCCTGCGCTGCTATGTGATATCATGTATGAGGGCCCAGGGAAATCCTGCAGTATCTGCACCTCCTCTGCTTTGAGGTTCGTGTCTATAAGGACTTGTTTTCTTTCCCCAGGGAAGCTCCCTGTTCACTCTGCCACTCTGCAGGCAGATTTGCCTCAGCCTCCTGCTGCTTCCTCATCCCAGCCCAGCGGGTAAATCCCTGTCCCCATATGCCACTGTGACCAGGACAGAAGTGCAGACAGCTGGCCTGGAGGTGACATAAAGCTTGTCAAAAAAAGCTGTGACCTGCCAGCTGCAGACATGGCATTTGTGAGCTCCACAGCTCAGCCCCGAGGCCAGTTTGGAGGCAGCCTGGCTGAGAAGCAGGGATAAGCAGGAAAGAGCTGTCACCCAGTGTCCAGCTGGGGCTTTTCCCAGACATCTGCAGCTCCTCCACCTCTAAGGAGGTGTCTGTGCCTTTGGATAGGAGAATCTGTGGCCCTACGTCAAAGGTGCAAGAAAGAGGAACCCAAGCACAGCACAACCAGCAAACAAGATAACCCACTTGTTTCTGGGCATAGGTATCACTGGAAACTCCAGACTTCACCATGGGAGAGATCTGTGTCTCAGTCTTCCAGGCAGACAGTGGCTCCATGCATATGGCTGAGGAGCTCCCTGGGGTGTTTCTGTGCGTGGTGGGGCTCATAAGGACCCTCTCTGCTGCCAGGACTGCCCTCCCCTCTGCTGACTCAGGCAGGTGAGCATCTTCTGCAGCTGAGGCTGTGCCTTCCCCCGAGTGAGCAGCTGGCTGACTGCCTGCCTAAAGGCACCAGGACAGGGAGGCCAGGGCACACAAATCCAGCACAGGATGTCGCCCCTGTGCAGGGACAAACTTCTCTGTGGAGCAACCAGATGGCACTGCTGTGAACAGGCTGAATGCAAAGGGGCAAGAGAAAGGAAGGCAGCTTTGGACTTGGCACCTTTCCTTGAAGCCACCTGCTCTCTCACCTCCCAGGATCCTTCTTTCCTCCTCAGGCAAGACTGTCTTCTGGGAAACCACAGGTGAAGAAAGGCCACTGACAAGCTAAGGACTGCTGGCATATGGATCAGACTGCAGAGAAACTGCCCCAAAAGTGCGTCATAGCTGGGGAAGGACCTGCTCCCTCCCAGACATTTGCACACTGCAGTATTACTTCTTCATCTGGCAGCTCCCCCTAATGCCAGTGGCATTCAAAAGGTGGGGGACCCAGTGGAGAATACTTACAGGCTACCCATATGCCTGGGTGCAGAGCTGCAACACGCTGGGGAGAGCCAAGGTGCCACCCTGGTTTGCTGACCTGGTCTGTGGTTGCTGCCAGGTCCCATGTTGGCTGGGCTCTGACACCACAACCTGTGTTTTATAAGACGCAGCTGTTGCTTTCTGTTTCATTTTGTTGTTTCTGTTTCAAGGCCATGGGAGCCTGGTGCAATGGTCCTCCCTGATACTGCATCATCTAAATACAAGTAGGAAAAGCCAAGCTCAGCCACCACTGCCTGAGCCCAGGGCAGGCTGGCACTTTCTTCTCCCAGCTGTGCTAACTGACATGAATAACTGATTGGGTTAAATTCACCTAGGGAAGTTGTGCTATTTAAGTGGCTTGGGTGTCTGTGGGAGCTGAGATGAGTTTGTTTTGTTTGGACACTTCTGTAGAGGTGACTGACCGTCCTAGAGCTGACCCCAGTATTTTGCCCTTTTTGCACTTCAAATTCTGCTGTCCTCCCTCAGCTTCCCAGATCCGGTTTCCCCCAAGCCCCACCTCACCTGCAGACACAGCACAGCAAAGTGCCTGCTGTGACAGGAAACCTGTGAAACATCAACTGATGTGAGGGGCAAAACTCCAATTCCTTTAGTCCTCCTGGCCAGATCCAGAACCATTGGTCCTGTAGGCAGCTTTGGTGACAGTTCCATTGACGTATATTGGGGGTGATACATGTGGGACACAGCCACAAAGCTGTTCACAGCGTTCTACCTAGTAATTCCATATTTAGGCATGGTCTGGAAATCTCCAGGTGGTACATAGACTGTGAGTCTGTAATACTGGCACTCACATCCATGAGCATAGTGGATGTGACAGGAAATATGGGAGGAAGCTCTCAAAGAAGCTCAATTACAGCTGTAATGATTTGTCCCCAGAATTAGAGGCTGGCAGAGAGGGGGCCACTTTTAATCTCATCTCTCCTTCCACACTGTGGGTGTCTCACATATCTTCTTTCTCAAGACATGGATTTCCAGTGCATCAGCTGGTGTGACAGGCATGGCCTCAGCAGTGATGGCAGGTGAAGGCTGCATCTCTAAGTGGCAAAATAACTGCTGTACCTCACTCAGGGTCCTGGCCTCTCCCTCACCATAACCTGACCTGGCAGATACATTTACCAGGTTAACTAAAGCTGGCTTTAGTGCTGCACTGCAAATACCTTACCTGCAGGTAAGAGGAAACAGCTCTGACAGTGTATGGGGAGGCACGTCCCTTGGACACAAAAAATATTTGCAACATTTTGAGGCTCCTTTTCTTTTAAGCAAGGAAGTACTTTATATAGTTGATACTGAATTTCATTAATAGTATCTAACCCACCCAGCCAAAATAAAGTAGGGAGAGCAAAACACAGGGAAACCTTCCAGTTACATTTACATAGGTTTAAAAAATATATTAAGAACACCACAGGATTCCCCCAAACAATGACTATCACAGGCACATCCTTCCTACGAACTTTTTCACAACCCAGATATTGGGTTTGAGCCTGCCGAGGCCGGGCGCTGGAGGGAGA